GAGTGACTGCCTCACCCGGGAACAGCGCAATGATAATACCAACATGGGCCAGTGAAGCAACGTCCTCCACAACTAGACTGAAGAACAAAAGGACAACTTGTCTGTTCCCCTTTCCTGATTTCCCAACACTGTTCCCCTCCCCGAATTCCCCAATAAAATCTTTAAAATAAAATAAAATGTGTACATCCTTCCACTAAGCAATCTTATCTTGTGAGAAATTATCCTAAGGAGATAATAGACCAAGTTCACCAAGATACAGATAGAAGACATTTATAATGAAAAACAAAAAAACATTCAAATGAAATTGTTAAGGTAGTGATGGTATATATGGAGTCAATAAAAAGAATATCAAGATCTTACTCTACTAAGTATAACAAACATATTACAAACACCCATACATGGAATGACCACATTATTGTAAACAACAAAAACAGTATAGTCCAGTCTAAGTTTAGAAGAAAATAAGAAAAGTTAAGACAAGATGTTAAAAATAGATGTCAATTGACTTTTAACTTTAATTTTCTAAGTTACCTATGCCTTTTTATTTTTGGGGGGGAGAGGGTCAGAAAGACTTTCTGTGAAGAAGAAACAGTACACCAGTCAGTCAGTCAGTTTGAGTATTTGAGAAAAAAATTGGGACAAGACAAACTTCACATGTCTATGAAAGAATGATCTTTTCTTGGCCTGAACAGAGGTAAATAATGCCTTATGTACATCTTCATTCTCTCCCACACATTATCCCAAAGTGCACATATTCAAATGCCTACTTTACCTTTCAGCATATCATTACCAACAAATTATTACTATTCTAGGGTCCTAATATTTCAAAATTTTTCAATGTTTCAAAACAAACAGCATTTAATCTTTGTTTCAACTGTTCACTCTGTAATTGGGCTATTTCAAGTCTAAAACTATTCCATGTAAAAATCCCTTCCCTTTAAAAAATCCTCACAGAACCACTGAAAATTTTAACAGAAAGCCACAACTCTTCCTTGCTTTAAATACAGATTGGTTTCATTTACAAGATAGTATTATAATGTTGTGGCACCTCAGTTTCATTTCACTCTCTGTATCTGAACAAAGACAAACATTATAAATGAGTTCACAGCATCGTTTTAAAAAATCTTAACACAAGTTACCATTATATACATTAGAAGCTGTGAATAACAGAAGTTCTATAATATTAGATACAAACCTGTTGAGCAACAGTCTTTACAATGCCAGTACAAGAGCAAAACATCTGGTTAGTTATGAAACTAAATGAACTGCTATGCCCTCTATGCCAACCACCAAGCAACAAGCTCTTATGTCTTTCCCATTCATTACTGACGTAGTTCTCAATATTTTCACTAGTTCTATGATAATTCCATTTTCTTCCCAATCTTTCAGGTAAGTGTCCATATGGCCACAGATATAATTAGCAAGCTGATGGCACACAAGTTTCCTTTTAGTCCTTAATTTTTAAAAAATGTTACATAATTTTATTTTCTAATATTAATTATTTTTTTCCAGGGGAACGTTTTATAAAACATTTAAACAAACCTTGTAATAGCTGACCTGTTATCAAATGCTATACTTGGACATTCCCGGACTAAAGTTTATTTTAAACTAAGTTTAAACTAAAACTTTCACATTGTTGAATCAATTTCTGAGGATCCCAAATTAAAGAAATCATTCAAAATGTGATACAGTCTAGTGTTTATTTTATGTTATGGCAGGTACACTTGAATTTCAAAAATTTAAAACATATAAAAAGTGGTTAGGGACTAACATTTGTATCAACAGTTGATAAATGTCTAAGAGTGTTTATTATACAGCAGGGTACAATCGTAGTGCTAATGCCAATAGGGCACCATGGGAGTTAGAGTTAGTCTAAAAATTATCACTAGGCTTTATACAAGCAACAACATATGCTGCTGTTTTAGAATTTCGGGACATAGTCTGCTTCTAATGCTAAGCAGTCCTTTAACATTTCTAATGTTATGCAGTGTTATAGTATTTAGTTTGGCAAGTGTTTCAAAATAAAGTAGAAATGTATTCATAACAACACAGAAATGCACATCCAGTTTTGTTTTCAATAAGAACCATAGGTACAGATCAGAACTCTTCCCTATATGAAATAATTTACACACAGATGAGCTATATCACTATCTAAAATAATCACTAAATACAATTCTTTTTCAGAAATAAACAGGCAGAGGTTTTTCTTTTTTCATTATCAAATATCAAAAACATATAATGTATGTTTTTCAAACAAATGATAGTCTAAAATTATAGGAATAATTTCTGTGAATTCAGTGAATGTGCAACCTAAATCAACCAAGTATATTGCAGTACAACCATATTAAGAAACTAATGATCAGAAAATACAACCGTATGAAAGAAAGGAATTTATAATCCACAAAACTGTTTTTCAGGCCATAAGGTAAAATAGCTCCACAGTTTACAGGTAAAACCGAGGCAACAAAAATGCGTGCTTCTCTTCAATAAGTAGATATTTTATGCAGAAGATGTAACACTTTGCTTGTAGACAGCATGGTATGCATTTCTCAGCAAGACATAAGGAAAACAAGATTCCAAAAGATCCATTGTCAGGAATGGGGATTCCTGAACAATCTGAAAATTCCAAAACATATGTCAGAATTCAAATTATTTACAATGAGAACATTTACTGACAATAAACCATAATTTTATATTGTTATTAGAAATACACAAATTATCTCCTTTTACTTTAACATCTGAAATGTAATTGTGCCACAGTATATGCTACTAAAATGCTTAAAAATCACTACTCTTCAATTAAATCAATTAATCAGCAGGAATATATTGTGCATTTTCAATGCCCTCAACAATCTATTAGAAAAGAGAATATAAACATATTTAAAATGAGGGACATATCTTCAAGTCTACTTGGGGACCCAAGACTAAGCTAGAAAGCCAAATCAAACATAAAACCAACTATAATTAAGTGGAAAGCTGTAAGTTCTAGAGGAGCTCAAAAGGGAAGAAAGACTAACGTAGGCGACAGTAATCAGAAAAGTCTATCTGGAAAAAGATTTGAGCTATGGAGCATGAAGAATCATTAGGATAAACACAAATCTCTGCAGGCAAAAAAAATTATTCTAAGCGAGTAAAGAACCACATGGTACAAACAAGCATGGCTGATTCACAGACAGTGAAAAAAAGGAACTAAGTATAGAGAATGACAAAATTTTATTAGATGGGCAGAATGGAGTCAGGATACAGAAAACTGGAATAGCTGAAACTGATACACTGGGAAACTGTAAGGTCCAAGTATTTCCCAACAGGTTAAAAAATCTATTCATAGAGAATACCTTGTAGGTAGTGCTAATCTTTTATTTTGCTGTTTTCTGATATGATTACCATGTGGTAAAATACAGGTGATGTCAGCAATTTTTAGAAGGTGTGTGGCTTGGGTGAAGTGAACACAAGGGATCAAAAAAGTACGTCAGCTCTTTTTGTTATTTAAAAACTTAAATACCAAGAAAAGACTATCACGAATAACTAAAATTTCTTTGTTAATAAAAATTAAGATGAGACTTACCATATCTAGCAGTAAATAAACAGATTCTCTATTCCTTGTTGTTGTTTTATCTGTCTCCTGGCCAATTTTCAGTAGACTGGAGGATGCAAGCTTAAAAGTACACATACATTTTAAATACGTTTTTTAAATGAAATGTTCACCAGTTACTTATTTTCAGTATGCTTCAACTTGCAACACATTTCAGTCATTCAGTAGCTATACAGATAATGAGCAATTAAATAAATACGCTTAGATTCTTGACATTCAAGCAATAGAGACCTAATAAGGTATAAAAACAAAGATAATAAATGCAATCAAATATTCTTATTGGCCTTTAAAGCTGATTTTTCCCCAGGACCAGTCTTTAAAAAAACAAAAATGATTTCAATCAATATCTGTAGTAACTGTATTTCTTAGTTCCCAAATAAGGAAATTTCACAATGGGAACACAGTGAGATTAGGATATTAAGTCTTGAATAAAGGAAATAAATTGAAAAAAACATTTTTTAATTTAATACTGTTTGCTTTGAAATACACGTTATTTTCTCAAGTTAATACTGCATTTGCTTTATAATTAAAAAAAAATGTCTAAAAAGCTAACAGCGTTTATAACTGAAAAGAAGCACATATTCTAGTGTTTATTATATTATGATGCATCTCTCTTTATAGTAAAATATGAAAAAAGCACATTGATAAAGGAAGAGTTACACTAACATAGAAATGAAGAGTCACATACTTCATGAGACTAGAGTTTTTAGCACAACTACCCTCTTTTTGTAGTGAGTATTATTATTATTTTTGAATTTGTCATCATTAACATAAGTCTCTCCAAATACATGGAAAAAAGTAACATATTCTTTTAGAGGGAAGTTTCTCTGCCTCAATTTTCCTGTTTGATTTTTTTCCTCTTTCAAACCTAGGTAAAATTCTAGGGTACTACAAACATCAGCTTAGAAAAAAAAGGTCATATTGCAGAGCTCTAGAAATGAGAGACTTGTAAATTAAAGGGAAAAAAAAATGCTAAACTCCTTGATCTTAATGCCCTGTCTTCATTTGTTTCTTCTTCTAAACGTTTTTAAAATTATATTAATCAAGAGAATGTACTCTGTTGCATCTCATAGCTACTTTACATTTTCTTTACAAAACGTCATGAGGGTTGTTGCTGATTTATACATACCGCCAAAAATTCTTTAAGACGGTCTTCAATGCTTCCTTTGTGAATTGTAAACAAAGCTGCAGCGATCTGGTTGATGGCTTTGGCCAAGCAATGTATGTTGTTGCAGTGCCCTGAAAAAGCACAAATAGGGTTTGTGGTTTCTATTTGACTCTCAAATATCAAAAAAACACACATAAGGCCAGTCGTTAATGACTTCACAATCTACATAAATAGTGGCATGATTAAAAGCAGGGCTTGGTGTCATGGATAGGAAGAATTAATATAGTTAAAATGTCCAGGGCCGACCGAGTGGCTCAGTTGGTTAAGAGCTCGCTCAAGAGTTTGAGCTCTGAGCAACAGCGGTTCGAG